GCAACGGCGTGGTATATGGAGATTTGAGGCGAATCATTTTTTTATGAAATTATGTGCATATCGGCTTTACGGTGCAAAAGAAACTCAGTGTGATGAGCTAAAATGTCTATGCTTACATAATTTCACCAAAGTCATAACCCGCGCCCTGATGGGGGGGCCATTTTGGCCCCCCCCTGTGGTTTTTCTTAAATAGCGAGAAAACGGCGGCGCGCAGCGCCGCCAAATTTTGGGTACCTTACTGGGCATCAATTTAACACCTTTACACAAAATTTCAAGTCACAGGTCACCTCAGGTCAGGAGTTATTGAGGTCAAACTGAGGTCATGTTCGAGCAAAAATGAGCAAAAAACATGACATCTTGAAACGCTCACCAATTCTACAGTTAACAAGCAATTTTAAAGTTCTTTATGTGGTTGTGTAGAGAAAAGACGGCGCTACAAAACTGCTATCTCGGATTTTCGAAATTTTGGGATTTTGACCCCAAAAATAAAAAAATTGTTTTTTTTAGAAAAACTCAAAAAATTTCAATTTTTTTTCGAATTTCGAAAAAACCGGAATATTTGTGATAGTCCCTACGGTCTTCGATATACATACCTAATTTTAGATCGATACCTCTTTTTTGGCCAAGTTATAGCAAAAAAACTGTTAAAAATTGATGACGTCAAATTTTTGAACTCAATTTTTAGCAATTCTAGGCCTGGTAGCGCAAAACGGAGACCACCATTGAACTCCCCGTGACGAGCTGCTGCATCGAATCGATACCCATTTTATGCAAAAATATCAACTTTGAAATTTGACCTAATTTGACCTGACCTTGACCTGACCTTGACCTGACCTTGACCAAAACGTGACCTAAGCAGGCCCTAAAGTCTGTCTGACCCACATAATCGCATTTGTCATGTAAAATGGACCATAAAACATGTATCACACGACACTTTCATATTGTGACCCCCCCAGTGACCTGACCTCTGTGACCTGACCTGGTATCAGTGACCTCAAATAGCAAAATATGTGTTTGAAGAACATTTCTCCACCGATGATTTTCAATGAAATGCATTTTACTCGATTTTACAACGCATTTCTTGAAATGCCTGTAAACGGTGAAAATTCGACCTTTGACCTGACCTGTGACGTCATCGGTTTGACCGAGGTCAATGAAATTGGGTCACAAGGTAGTTCCCTGTTGGGGCTATCCAACACCGTTTACCCCTTGTCGCTATATTGCGTGGTTCTCGAGATCTGAGGGGGGGCCAAAATGGCCCCCCCCCCCAATCAGACCGCGTTGCTCGGCAGACCCCATCTGGGCGCGGGATAAAAATGATAGCCCGCGCCCCACTGGGGGGGGGCTATTTATAGCCCCCCTCCCGTTTTTCTGCAACAACTTCCAAACCGCTTGACGTATCGACGCCAAACTTTCAGTACCTTCGGCTGCATCAATTGGACACCTTGTGTCAAAATTTGAACTTCGTACCTACCATAGGTCGGCCGGAAATGACGTCAGAGTGACGTCATGTTCGGCCGATTTCGACGCAAAACATTGAACCACGGCAATCGCTTCCAAGAGCTCAGTTTTTAAGCTAGATCCAATTTCTTTGCATGAGAGGACTCAGAATAGACTGCACTATCAAACTGCCATCTTGGATTTTCGAAATTTTGAAAATTTCGAAAATTTTATATAACAAAATTCAAAATTCATATTTTACATTTTTTCATTTTTTTTTTTTTACTTTTCGAAAAAAACGGAATATATGTGATAGAACGCATTATTATGACTAACTCTAGCAAGTTTTAGCTAAATATCTTCAAAAATGGCTAAGTTATACGCATTATTGCAAAAAATTAACAATTAATAATTGTTCAAATCAATTGTTCAGCACGAATTTGACATCGTACGCCAATATAAATAGCACCATCGTGTTCCTGAGCTCAAACTGCATCCAAAAGACACCTTTTTTGTTGAAAAATGTTAACTTCAAAATTTGACCTTTTTTGACCTGAAAGTGACCTGACCTAAACTAAATTTGACTCAAAATGACCTTGAATGACACAGACGACATCAAATTCGAAATGTTTGGCCTAAATGGACCATAAAACATGTGTCACGTGACCGACGGATGATATCATATTTTCGTGACCTGTGATGACCTGACCTTGACCTGAAAATCAAAGTACAAGTTTGGTACCCTCAGAGTATCTAGAGCATCTGTTCACGAGTGTGTGAACCAAAAATGAGCCTGATCTGACTTTTAAGACGGCGGCCAGAGCCCAAAACGTGAAGAAGCCAAAATGCTAATAATTTTTACTTTGACCTGACCTGTGACGTCATTGGTGACCTCGAGTTCAATGAAATTAGATTTCGCTCGACAGTTTTTCCGGGGCTATCAGACGCTGTTTGAATTTTGACGATCGGCCTAGTAGTTTCAGAGTTAGGAGGGGGCATGAATAGCCCCCCCCCCCCCCCCAGTAGGGCGTGTTATACGCAGACCCCAGTGGAGCGCGGAATAGCATTGCTTAATTATTTTGTAAAATAAATTAAGTCCGAATCTTTTGATAGAAAGCATTCACAAGGACAGAGCCCCGCTAAGCGAAGCTTGTTGCGTTGATCCTGCCTTCTACCCTCCGATCGCGCAGTCCCAGGTCTACGGCAGAATTTAGAGTCCAAAGTTTAACATGCGCGCATAGCCACGCGCGGTCGGTCCCCTCGCTGACTTCGCCAAGGCGGTATGTAATTAACACGTCGTCACCATTTCAAGGGCAACATCTGGGGGTGAACCTCAAAGGAATAGAGTTCAAATGGTCAAACTACCTGTGACGTAAGGGGGCTGAGTTCTTCAGCTGCTGAGCGCGTACATTGGTGACGCCTCGATACTTCAGAGAAGAAAGATATTCCATCTAGCCCTTTTGAGAAGACTGATCAGCTGAGAGAAAATAATAGAGTGTGTTCTGTGTTCGACGGGACACCGCTCCGCGCGGCGCCCGACTCTCCTCTGGCGGAGCGGACTGTAAACACTCCTTTCTGGGGCTAATCAGACCAGCGGGTCCACGGCATTTGGGTGAAATGAAACTCGTGCACACCCTATTCAACACAAGTAGGTAGGCGAAGGGTTTTAGGCAGATCGATCGGATATGAAGGATGGCCACAATTCAGCAGCCAGGAGCCACGGCAATTCAGCGTGACACAGGTGAGAGATAGAAGTCACAATTCAAGCGACAAGGAGGCCCACAATTCAGCAGACCAGGAAGGGTAAATGGGAAGGTTAAGTGAGTAGAGATAGAAGTCACAATTCAAGCGACAAGGAGGCCCACAATTCAGCAGACCAGGAAGGGTAAAATGGGAAGGTTTAGTGAGTAGAGATAGAAGTCACAATTCAAGCGACAAGGAGGCCCACAATTCAGCAGACCAGGAAAGGTAGAGGAGTGAAGGTAAGGTAACTTGTGTAGAATGAAGAGTTGCGCACGCGCCGCACACGCCCGATTCTAACTCCGCCCGCTCACTGTTGCTCACTGTGTCTCGTTGCTTCTACACTTCCCGACACAGCACTGAAGAGGTATTTCTATATTGCGGTGTCCAACGAACGGTGCGACGGCTACGACAGGACAGAGGCACGTCCGCACGCTGCGGAGGCCAGAACAGAACAGGACGAGAAACATGTTTACATCAGTTTAAATATGGCGAGAAATGGGGTCACGAAGAATAGCACAGATGGGGAGCTGAAAGAATCCAGAAACTAGGGAGAAGAAAAAACACGTCTAGCGACGCGCAACGGTCCCAAAATAGCCGCACCTGGCCGGTCCGCGCGCCTACCTGGGACGGGGACGCCGGCGTGGACAATACACATTCCAGACGCCGCCGTCAAAAACAGGGGGGCCGGTCTCGGCCCTCCCAGGCTGCGCGGCGGCGGAAGGGTCAGGCGGCCCGGTCAGGCCGGGCCCGGGCGGCCGGCGCCCTCGCGGCCGGCCGGTCCCGGCGGTCTACCTGGCCGGCGACGAGCCACAGCCGGTGCATATACATTCATACGTACATGCGGCGGTCACAAGAGTTATCAGAGGTAAGAAGAGAAGAGATAATTTGGTTATTGGCAAGGTGACTAAAAAGGCGGTGAGATAACTTCAAGACGAGATGTAAACAAGCAGAGGAGCACGGTCATGAACAGATAAAGATGTCGAGAGGAACGGGACGGATATGAGAAGATAGAGGAGCGGTCCAATTGATGAGCATCGACCACAGACAGACACACATATGAGCCGCTCAGCTGCATGCCAACTGAGGCTGTCATCGGACGGAGACGAGGGCCGGTTCGATACAGCACGACAGCAGACAGAGGGGGAGGGAGGCAGCGTGAGGAGTGGGCGGAGGGGAGTTAATGGGCCGTGGGTGATCGGGACAGAGGACTGGAGGCTGGCGCACCAGTGCCGCTATACTCGAGTCCATTGGCCAGTGTCCCTGTGGAATGTCGGCGTGGTCTGGACATCGCGGTGTCGGTTGGAATGGAATGGCTCGTCACTCGTCAGTACCGCAGAATTTTGAGTGACGAAAAAATAATCGATACAGATCTTCGTTGTATAGGCTTTCGTGGAGGATTGAGGTTTTTCGGAGACTACTATCAGACCTGAACCCATAGCACGAGCAAAATGAAGACGCTGCCATTCGTGGTTAATGATGCAGTACAACACACAATACACACAACAAGGTCAGCAACACACACCATCAACGCCAGTCTGTTCAGCGAGGGAGGCAGAAAACGGAGACCAGTGCGTGATGTGTAGCAGATTTCCACAATTCACTGAAGACAACACAGAGGTCTGCGACTAGCTAGTGACATTTCGGAGATTCACCCGCTTCTCGCCGGCGATGTAAGTTGTAACAGAGGTGCGAGGCGCACCGATGGCATCCCTGAGGTCCGCGAGTTACACCACTGATATCCCAGAGGTCCACAGATCACCATTGGTGTTCCAGAGGTCTGTGACTCACCAGTGATGTTCCAGAGGTCCACAACTCACCAGTGATGTTCCAGAGGTCGTCCAGACAGGCGGTGCGCAGGCCGTCGGTGCTTGGTGCAGAGGTCTGCAACTGGTCGTCCTCACGCCGCTCGCGGCCGGCGGAGAGGGAGGAGCGCTCCAGCCTCTCGAAGAGGACGGCTCCCGCCACTGAATAGGCCACCACCAGACCGCAGAGTCCGGCGTGTGAACAGAGCCGAGCGCCGCAGAACCGGAGACAGCGGGCCACGCTGCTGCCGCCGTCACCGGCCGTAGGGCGCCGCGCTGGTCTCATCGTTCCGTGAAGGCTACCGGCGCGGTTCGATCGGGTCACAACATGTCAAAAAATAGGTCTTAGGTCCATGTGTGCCCGAAGAGAATCACTTGAAGCTATTCAGGGGTCAGTACATCGTTTGGCTGCACAACATTATCTGCATTGCAGAAAATCCATACTTCTCATTCAAAGAATTTAGTCAAAGCTGGAGTATGAATGGTCCCATCTGAGCCAGAACAGTGAATGCAGTTTTTCTTTAGACCTTGGGGTCATCTGAGTGCAATGCCCAGCCAGATCAGTAAGAGGGCCGAGGGATCCGCAATTACGAAAGAGCCGTGATGTCACTGAGTGTCACGAGGTGTGTTTTCTCACGACCGACGCTCACAGATCACGGTAACCAAATGTCGTCTGCTGTCTGCACCCGTTCTCGTAACGCAGATCTGATTTGATCTGACACTGAGTTGACCTGACCTGACCAGGGTCACCAGCTCGGCTTTGTATCGCGAGGAGTATCACTCAGTTCACAGCGGCGTATCACTCTTCCGAATCTCACTATGTCCGTTCTTCTTTCGCACGATCCTCGGCAGCTGACGGAACGATAGCCTCGCCCCTGTTGCAGCTGACTACCGACCGTCGCGTCGGTTCCACCGCCCGCGACCCCGCGAGCTGTCCGCGCCGACGGTGGGGGGGGGGGGTCAGTCTCCTCGGGGGGGGGGACACGAGCCGAGCCGCCGCTGTCGACGACAGTAGCCGTGACGTCACCACACCGTCATGACGACAGTTACGACCACGTCATAAGCCGCCTGCGGGCAAAAGAAGAAATAAGGGAGCGTCATACGGCGGCCGAGGAGGCGCGTCCGGACGATAGTTAGGGACGCGATGGGGCCGTTTGACCCAACTGGCCACTGGATATCTCAAAATATGCGGCGTAAAACAGAAGTGCGACGGTTAAATATAGAAAGGAATTGATATACGCCCGTTGTAAATGCAGTAATGTCATGGATATAAATTAGTGTGATTGGAGATCAGAAATGTAACGCATCGAAAACAAAAATAGATTGTTATAGTTAGGTACAACAGCAGTGGTTTCAGCACTACTTAATAATTTAATAATGAAAAAAGTCTCACTCTTCCAGATTTTGAATATTATATTATGGAGTGTCTGAAAAATGGCATGATGACAGTTCATAGTAAAACACCTAACTCTTCAGCATATAATGTGACAGAATTTGAAGCCGCTTTGGCACCCTGCATCGAGCCGCTATGCTCACAAACTTTCCAGTAGTTCCCCGAAGCCATCCGATTATCATCGCCAGCTTCGAGGAAAGTAATTAGTTTGGAGCAAGTCGTTTTGTTGTCAATCTGGCGTCAAAATTGGTCTTCCCACACCATTCCGGAAGAGACGGACCCGGACGAGTTGAGGACCACGTCACGTTAAGGCTGTAATTATCACCATCAAAAGAGCGCGCGGAGCAATGACAGTGTCATATCTCAGTCATACGATGGTTGTGGAGAGGCGTTGTGGGTTCAGTCTCTTTTGATCTCAGCAATGGTTTTCCAGTTCAGTCTTCATTGAGGAATGTAAAGGAGCATTGTAGGAAATATTATACGGTTAGACTGTTTGAAAAATTGACAATTCGTGAAGATGGATTTAGCATCTGTCTCGTATGAGTGATGCGCCCGTAACAATTCCGGCGCCGTGGATCGCAGATACGCTGCTTTATCTCTCACCAAAACTTTTATCCGCCCTCTCCCGCCGGCGGTCTGCTGTTAATTACCGCTCAGTCTTTGGTGGCCGGAGGCAGTGGATCCTCACACAGACACACACCGCACGGCCACTCAGAATCCGGGCCGTGGGCTCCTGCCAACTCCGCGGCGAAACTTGGACGGCCTTCCGACTCCGACCACAGCTCGTCCGTCACTTATGGCGCACGTCTCGTCATCGTGTCCTAGCCCATATTCTGATCCCAGTTCGTTTAGGTTCTCCGTTCCGACATCACTCCTACTCATTACTCCTTGTTCCTGCCCGGCTCTTGATCTCCATTCCTCGATGCTCATTCCCTATTTCCATTCCTCATTCCGCAACCTCAGTTCTCCACTTTCCGTTCCTCATCCCACGTAATCCCTTTCCTGTTCCAAGTTCGCCTTTTGTTCCACATTTCCCGTTCCTCATCACTGGTTCCCGTTTTCTCGCTCCCATTCCTTGTTCCCCTCTTTCTGTTCCCCGTCCCTCGCACCTCGCTCCCCGTTCCCGTCCTCAACCTTCAACATCGTCCCTTGTTCGCCATTTCTGTCCCCATCCCTGTCTTCAAATCTCACTGACACTGGACGGTGATACGAATATGACGTCACAAAACTCATTTCGTGCCAACGAGCTCGGATAATGACAGGAGCTTCAAAAGAAACAACGGAGCTTAAAATGATGATAAGCTTATGGATGAATGGGATATGTAACAAGCTGGTCACACATAGGATAAATGTCGTTATTTAAATCAAATTAGCCCATTTTTGTGACGCCACATTTTGATTGTAAGTGTGTCAAACTAGCAATTTGATGACCGACGCACTACGGTTTCCAGGGCAAGCGTTACATCGCTTAGCAAAAACAGAAAATTCACTCATAAATATCCGGAGAATGGGCATAAAATGTTGACTAACAGAAAAAATGACAAATCTTGTCTGCCGTTCATTTTTCTTTGCCGTCATAGGTATCTCTGTAACCATTAATGCGAGCTGCCAGTTTATTTCACCATAAAGTTAAATAAACTTGTTTTCGTGCGTCGTATTCCTACTTTCCAGCGGCTCAAGTGTTTGGGGCGCAGGTGCAGGCTTGGTGATCAATGTTTCTTCGGCATAAGATTTCAATCAAGCTAATTTTGTTTTTATTCTGTAAGTGAGCATTTTAGGTGCCGTAAACTGTCTAGCAGGCTGATCTTGTATGAGCGGGTAGGCAGATGCAAACTTTGTCAGATATTTCCTCTTCTTAGCCAGCCTTGAGTTTGCGCTTTTGTATCGTGGACCATTTCCATAATACTAAGCCAGACACTTGGAAACTTTGTTGCATCAGTGATGTAGTCTAACTTGGTTCATTCTCATACACTTTTACAATATTCATAGTAGATGCCAGTTATTGTGCAGAGCTTCAAACTTTTCTGACTTTTAAGTCGTGCTACTCACTGGCTAATTTGATAACCCGTGGGAGTCTGCATTATTTGGATGATCTAATTATCTTTCATTCTGCCCCAAATAACTCACTTTTTGCATGTTTCAGAACAGAATAAAAATTGACAAAAAGAGCTGCACAACTTGTAACTTAATTATCAGTTTTCGCTTATCATAAAAGATTTATAAGAAAAATGTCAAGACCACCTGCTTTGTAAGTAGCATTAGACTACATTGACGTATAGTACGTCACATTACAAGGGACAGCCATTCAATTACATCACAATTTTGACGTGAACTAATGGGACATGCCTCCTGGTTTTAGACAGCAAATCAGATAATGGTGATGTTTTAATGATCCTGCACAGGTGCACACGCTGCTAAAGCAGCTTTTTACCATCCCGAATAAACAGCTACAGACGTAATTCGGACGTACATACGTCGTCCACTCCAGGAGTTTTGAGACTGGCCTCGTAAAATCCCTATAAACAGCGCTAGATACTTGTTGTTCTCAAAAGTCCTTACAACAGTTGTTATAAACGTACTTGCGTAATTTTGTTTTTCTGCGTTGCAAAAGACGGCAACGGCGTCACCCTGAACATGGAAAGTCGCACGTGGTTTGTCACAGTGACCAATGTACAGCACAGTCAGGCTGTTCATGTGAAGAACAATTGGAGGGTCGCTATGCAATAAAGTTTTGGGATTAGCTTGGCAAAATGCCCGAGAGATATAGCAAATTGACTCTCAAGTGACTTGATACAAAAGCTGGATGTATTTTTACCATCATGAGACCAAGAGACAGAATGTCTAATGAAAACACACTGACTCCTGCATACCCAATATAGACAGACAGCGCAGGTCCACTGGGAAGCTCAAATTAATCCTTTATTTAGAACAAAAAGGCTAAAACTTCATAATCTGGGTCCCCTACACGGCCAGATGGTTAACAAGAAATGATTGTTGTCACGTACGTTCACGTGTCACATACGTTCGGCCGTAATCACCTTCACATTGCATCACCGGACTGGAACTTACGCATCAGCTCAGTCCATTAGCTCTATAGGATGAGACACATTGCGAGATTGGTCAGTTATATGACAGCAACTCAAGTGCCCACCCCGGCACTGCAACTGACCGCCGCCCCTGCCACTGCTGTACTTCAGTGCCGGTGGTGAGCGCAATACGAGTGTTGGCAAATTGGAGCCGTCAGCGCCAGCCTGGTCAATTGACAGGCATTGAAGGAAGACGGTAAAAACACTTAGCGGCTGGAGGACATGTTACCAGGGCGCTATGACTGCTCACCGCTTAATATGGCGTGGAAATGATGATTCGCTTATCCAGCACACAGGATATAACGTTTTTAAGGCCCCTACTACTATGCGATGTTTCTAACAGAGGTATTCCCAAGCTACGTATTGAACATAGAGATGCGTCTGATCAATGAGAAGAACTACACCCGTAGCTCTTTTCAACAGAAGAAAACAAATTACTGCACTGCAGTGTAAACTGCCTTTGTTTATAAGGTACAATGGACAGGGAGGTTCTTTTATTTCTACAACGGCCGTCATATGTATTTAAAAGTTATGTGGTCGCTGTACGTTGTGGGTGGAACACAGAGATAAAATATGAGCGGGTCGTCTGAACATGATCTCGAAATTACGAGCTAGCACTTAGCCCTATGACGTCATCGTTGTATTTGAAACCAGTGACGTCATGAAAGGCAACGAACCATGCCGGAAAACGGAAATAGTGCTGCATTAGCATTACTGAGTTGAGACATTATCTAAAATTATGCTGAGGGCAAAGTACGCTGTTCACAGCTCATTTATTGTGCAGACGACGCGGCGCTAAGCTACACT